CAGGATGATTTTAAAAGATGTGATGAGAAAGAATTATTCATAGTACTTTTTTGGCTATTTGAAACTCCAGAATGACGGGCTAAACCAGAACAGACGGTGATAGGAGTGAGTCAATGCTGAAGGGACAGCACAATTTCACTGCTTAAGCACTGTTGATTAACAGACTGAAAGTAAACTATGCTAGAAGTATGTTTTGGTTTTATCTTTTTCCGTACTTGTTTATTTTCTACAGGCTTTTCTGACTGGAACCCGGTTACTTCCCTGAGAAGGCAGGTACTGAGTTATTTACCTCCAGAGCTGCAAAGATCTGGAGAATTTGCATCCAAACCAGAAACTTGGTTGCCCTGAGAACAACTATAAATACACAAATCTCGGGTACCTTTGCCAGTGATGGCATGATGCAGAAGGTCCTGGTTTTGACTGTGATTGGACACTGCAGACCACAATTTGGTCTGGTCTTTCTGAAAGTTTGTGGCCCTCTAGCATGTCTTTCCAGACAAACACTCTTAACAGGTATGTCAATAAAACAGGTGTCTGGTTAAAATTCTGTGCCAGACTTAAGGTTAAGCCTGGAATGAAATAGCTAAGCACACTTTTGAAACACAAAGAAACATACAATGATGTTGTTCTAAACGATGAGCTGTTTCTATAAAACACAGCTTGAAAGGATTGGCTTTAAAGTAATCTATTTTTAAAAGCAAAGTCCCTTACTTTTTTTGCTGCATTACTTATATTTGACTTAGATAGGAATACATTAATTGCATGTAATATGCTTGGAATGTGTGGAAAATAACATTTTTTCCATGTGAATCAGCACAGGAAATGATCTGCAAATGAGTGAAATGTTTAGAAGTCTACAGATGGAGTTTTTTCCTAAAAAAATGCATGTTTTTCAACTGTAGAGTACTGACATCATATTTTCTTGAAGAGTAATATATCACAGAGATGACTGATGACACACCAGAGACTGAAGAAGAGCAAGAACTTGCTTCTGATCAGCATAGTTTAGGACTGCAATGTAATGCAACATTAATTTAATAGTTTCTGTCTTTGCTGGTGCCAGGCAGTTTTGCCTCCCTCAATCTGCCATTGCCAAAGCTTATCACATTCTTGCTAAACACAGAAAATGGTAGGTAAAACAAAGCAAACTCAGAGGTGTTCTGACTTGATTTTCTTTTCACTGTGATGTAAAATAACAACCAAAAAAACCCAGTGTCTTCTAAATGATGATCTAGTGATACATTACACAAGAGACTTTGATTTTCCAATCTTTCCCTTCCAGGGTGAGATATTAAAATAGCAATAAATACTACTAAGAACAGGAAATGAATGGTTTTCTAAGAGACATACTGTGAGAGGATGCTTAAGTGTGGGTATGTTTAGGAAAATATGTAACCCACCATGGAGCTGAAACCTCAGTCCTAAACAAACCAGCACTTGGCACTCACAGCAGCAGAACAGTGAGTGGGAGAGAAGAGTACAGAGTCTGCTCCAACATGCTATTGATTTGCTCTGAAATTACGTGAATTATTACTGTAGAATTCAATATTGGAATTGATGATTTTACTGGAGTATTTGATACCGTGACAAAACATCCTCCATGCACTCCTCAAAGCTCCCTTGAATCTGAAATTTCCTCCCTTATTTCATTTGACAGAAAACTATTGCTTCTGTATCATATTTTTCTTTTGTTTACTAAGGTGGAACTTGAGTCCCAGTCTACTGCAGTTATTAGGAACGTTCGACTCTTGCCTGTAATGTGAGAGATGAAACACTATTAATATTGTTTTTTCTTTTTTGAAATCAAATCAATAAACAGTTTCTTTTGAACATGTTGCATTGCACTCTGGGATGCATGAAAAACATTTGAAAGAGTAAATCTGCATTACACTGATTGTAGTAAACATTGTCCTCTGAATGGTGAAACCAATTACATGTATTTGGTCTTTATCTTCTGACTGTATTTCTGCCAAATGAACAAAAAGGCACATGTGCTGCATCCCAAAGGCTTATATGTGGCTCATAGTGCCCAACAGTCAAGGAGAGATGATTCACATGTTTTTTTGTAGAAAGATAATATCTTGATTTCCTTTGCTTTAATTTTGCTGTGAAAAGAGCAGCACAGGGAGTCTGCTGCCTTTCCTCTAAGTGTCCTGTTCAGTCTGAAGCTACAGACAGATTCTGCCACGTGAGTGAGACCGAAGCGCGTACTGCATGTTCATGCTATGCACAGTTAATCACGCTGCCCTGTACCAAACAGAGCTTCTTAGTTCATAGATCAGAGAGCCTTTTAAGGTGAACCTGGAATCTTTCTTGGTAGCAAAATTGAAACCATCTAAAGTCAAGACAGGATTTTCCTGGACTCTTTCACCCAGTCTTCAAAATATGTATATGCCTTTGCGTTTATTCTCATCAATAAGGAATTTAAAGCCATAGACTCATTACTCTTCAATGTTACTGCCTGTGAAAAATGCAAATAGAGAACAAATAGGCTCCACGTTGCAAGCATAAATTCAGAGTCCCCGAACAGAAGCGAAGATTTTTCAATCTGCCTTTGGGAGAAGACTTGACAGGGTTTCCTGAAAACCTGCCTGTTTTGCTTCACTATTCCCATAACCAACAGCTGCACAACTTATATGGATTAATTGAACTGCAAACAGTAACATCTAGATCTCCCATGCTGCTTAAAATACATGACTGCAGTAAGGATCAAAGAGAGAAGATTACAGGAATAGAGAAGATGTGTGTCTGTAAGAATCAGGGCATCTAGACTCTAAAGCATTGTGAGGTAAAACTCTTATCATCTTTTCTGCCTTACCTCCAAGCAGAGATGAGCTGGAGGAGGTCACAGCAATGCACCTGACTCAGACTGCCACCAGACAAAATACGTTGCATTAGGTTCTTCAGCAATTATAAAAAGCTTCTTTATCTAATGAAGTGGATAAGATACAGAACAGAAAAGCGAAGCCCTCAGAGGACAGAAAAGAACAGAAAAAATTCAGAAGGCAGGTGGGGTTAAAGCTGATGCTTTGAAGCTTAGAGCTATGCTTCACGACTTTCCTATCCCAGGCAGACACAGATTGCCCAGCAAAGGAGAAGGGCATGGGTGTTTATGAACTGGATTTACTCCTTGCAAAGTTTGCTGCCAGTAATGATTCATCTTGAGCAGAACTGTTTTGAAACACTATAGCTGAGTGGCACAGATTTGTGATGATACTAATCTCCACACAACTTCACAAGAAGCTGCCAGAAATGCAAAGAACTTATATTTGCAGTATATATTTGTGAAACTAAATTTTGATAGAACATCCATCCTCATTACAGAAGGAGACAAGTTCTGGGCCTGTTTCCATATATAAAGTTATTCCAACTGACTATTCTTACAGACTTCTTTTGAATTTCTGGACTGTGAATTTCCCTGATACTGATGCTTTACACCTTCTCCCTTTCACTTATTCTACCACTTCAAGTAGAAAAAAATGTAAAAGACTGGAAAATAGCACCAAAAATTTAAACACAAAAATTTGGGATTAAAATTCCTCTGTTTCTTTGGAATCAGTACAGATGTGATGAAGAGAGGATGAAATTTAATTATGGAACCAGGATTGTCTTGCATCAGATTTAATGTTCTGTAGACAGCAGCCTTTTCCAAAGAACGTGAGTTCATCACACAAGTGAGGAATACCAAGCACACTCATCTGAAAATGTTGAGCAATCCTATCAGCATCTTGTAAGAACTTACCATACTGTTACCTGAAAGGCAGTGACTTCCATGCCAAGGGACATGAGCTTCTTACAGGAAGCTAGAAAAATTACATACAATATTTTGCACTCAAAAACCTGTACTACTTCTACATGAAGCTAAACCACTAACTCCTTGTCCTACCTAAAAAATTGGAAATTGTGTCCCTCACTTTCACACTGGTAAACTGCCACTGAGGTTATTCCTGATCAACTGTGCTGGAACAACTAGATGCTAAGTAAGCAGGAAGACCAAATTATGTGCACAACACCCTAGACAAGGATGTGAATTTGTAGGATCAGATTTCTGAACAGCAACTCCTACAGCTGCCAGCAGTGCTGACCATGTATATTTTACACCTCCAGCCACTTGCCACCACTTCTTTCCTGCCTCTCCTTGCACTGCTCCATAGATGATCTGCATGGAGGCTCTTTTTAGGTCTTCACACTGCACTGAAAGTTACCTTACAAGCAGGGCTCACTGGAGTTTTTCATTCCACACTGTAGAGAATAATAAATTATTAGCTCCTCTGTGTCTGACAGTCAGTCAGTCCCTGGCAGGAACTTACATATTCATGGTAGTTTCAGAGAGCAGACTGGCCTACCTTTCAAAGGTATAAAGTTAGTGTGAGGTTTTGTGTGGAGCAGGGATCAGGTAGACAAATCCCAAGAAAGTCTGTAGTGTGAATTCAGCTTTTATATTTGTTCTGTTGACCTGGTCTCCCAAAATGTGTGTCCTAAACAGTCAACACACACACACACAAACAGATCAGAGCCTACCACCCAGCAGATGCTACTTCTTGTCACTTAGGAGTCATGTGAGACAGCTGGAGGAGGTAGGTATGGTCACTACAGTACAAAGGAAGTGGGGACAATGCAATGTGTGAGGGCAGACACAAGGAGCAAGAGAGTTAGAATTACTACTGTGGAAAAGAGTGAGGATAGCAGACCCAAATTTGCAAGATGGATTTTTGCTGTTTCTAGTGTAACATGCAACAGAACTTGTGTTTGGTGCTCAGTAAAACCTGAATGACAGAGAAATTTGACTCCAGCTGAGTTCTTCACCTGTAATTTGTGATAACAGTGTCTATAAGGCAAGATAGCTGTCAACAAACATAGAACTTGTGTTAGCCTGTGGTAGATGTAACGTAAGCCCAGAACCTCTCTGCATGAATATTCTCAAGTAGACATCAAAGAAGTTATGGAAAGGTCATCCTACAAGTTCTCCACTCACACAGATTTATAAAAATGTTTCTTACCAACAATCATGTGGTTGCAGACATCACAGAAGGTGGGTTTTTTGAAGATGTGCTCCTGGAAGATGTGAGTCTTGTTGTTTTCTGACACCTGCTGGGCTCTGGTGGGTGAGGACGCCTGGCTCTCTGAGTTGGGGAGCTGCCCAGTGCTTGTGCTCACCTCAGGCATCAAGTCTACTTGCAATTTTACATCACTATTAGTCCTCTGGAAGAAATTGTCCGCACTTTTACTCCGCAAGCTTTTTGTCTTGAAGGAGAGTGATCGCTTCAGTTTCTGCAGCTGCAACAAATAAGCCAGTTACAATGATGACTTTTTCTACTTAAGAAACAATGCTAGGCTCCTGTTTTCGAGGTGTGTTGTTGCCAAGTGAACCTGTGATCCACTGGCAGATCTTAAACCACCTGAACCAACTGAAAATTGACTTTAGAATTTAACAAGCAATTTCAGGGCAAAGGAAACAGATCCTAATCAGAAAACAAACCTCTTTCATATGCTTTCTGATAGACAATAAACTTGATAGACCTAATGAACGCTTCTATTGGTCTTCAGTTTCAGGTATGACAGCAAAGAGGTACTGCTGAGAGTTGTATGCATTGAAGAATATATCCTTTGTATTCAAGCATGAGGGAACTTAAGGGTATTATTCATCCCCTAACTGTACTTAAGCAGCCTGTAAGGCCATTATAGGAATGACTTTAGAGTGGCAGTAGATGAGTGAATTCAGTAAACATATTTGATACACTGAAATTTCTGGAATTTGGCAGAAACAGAGATTATTTGAAGTTTTGACTGAAAAAAATCCTTTTTTTTTTTTAAAGAAAAGAAGGCTAAGAAGCAGTAACAGTGTAATTAACTAGCCAATTGATAGTTAATGCATTAGTTAATACTAGCTAACACACATTTACATATATTCTTGTACTGTGTATTGATTATCGGACTGTTAAGCACCACAATAAGACAATGCTAACTTGGAGCTGTTAACTTAAACTCTTTACCCATAAACTGTCTTGTGCCATATCACCAATCCTTTTATACTTCACTCACCTCTTCCCTGCCCCCTCCCTCCCTGACCCCTCTCCCTTCCCCCCCCAGTTTTATATAAGGCTGAGAAGGGCTCTAGGTGGGGCTCAGAAGCTACCAGGACATCAGCCACATAAATTTGTTGGTTTATCAACTCCAACAGCCCACAAGTAAAGGCCATGTAAAAGGAAAGCCAGCTCTGTGTCTACTTAATGTTTGGTCTCTGAAGTGCAATACCTCAGTATCACCTTTCACTCAGCATTATTCTAACCACTGCAAAATAATTTCAATCACTGCTGCTATTCTCTGGGTGACTGTGATGTAACAACTGAAATTTT